GAGCTGGGAACTGAAATTTAAATCTGAAATTTGTTTATTTTCTTTGATATATCATGTATTCGTAAAGTTGCTAGCTTCCTACATATTTTTGATTTATTGACAGTTTTATAATTTGCAATGAATGTGTGTGTGGGGGAGGGCAACGTATTTTTAGTAGTAATTATCAAATAAAGGAATTTTTGCAATTCTATAAAACAATTTCTCACAATTATACTTTACTGAAGAAAAAAACTTTTTTTAATTAATTGTTAAACTAATGTTTTTTTTAGCAATTCGAATGAAAATCATCTGAAGTACAATCTCCACAGCAAGTATCTGCACATTCTGGTTCTCATGCAGTCATCTTAGAGCCATGTCAATTTAGTTATTGTTAATTTTATGGTAGATTGAAATATTGCATGCTTTGAATCAGAACTTTTCTTACTAGAGAACAAATAGATTTTAATAAATTTACTGAGAAGGAGCTGCGAGGGTACAAAGTTGTACCGGTATGTGAAAATATTTGACCTACTCCTTCTATCAAGTGGAGTAGTCTTGAGTATAAAGTCTCATCTTTGTGCCTTGTGGGTAACCCTGTACACTGTGCAAGTGTACAGTGTACAGTGTACTCAAAATCAGAAATCGTACAATTAATATAGCTAGCTTGGTTTTAATCAATTCATAGAGAGAAATAATATTAATAGTAAAAAGCGAGAGAAATCTATTATTCAATATTTTTAACATTTTTCAATTTTTAATTTGAAAATAAAACAAAAGCTGTTTTTTTTAGGAAGAAAGTATATTCATTTTTTCGTGTTCTGTAGAAATCAGTCAAAACTTAGATTAAATGTTTAAAGGGAAGTGTTATTAACATGTTTAAAGGGACTGTAAGCGTTATTAACATGCTTATAAAGGGATTGTAGGCGTTATTAACATGTTTAAAGGGATGGTAAGCGTTACTAACATGTTTAAAGGGATTGTAAGCGTTATTAACATGTTTAAAGGGATTGTAAGCGTTGTTAACATGCTTATAAAGGGATTGTAAGCGTTATTAACATGTTTAAAGGGACTGTAAGCGTTACTAACATGTTTAAAGGGATTGTAAGCGTTATTAACATGTTTTAAGGAACTGTAAGCGTTATTAACATGTTTAAAGGGATTGTAAGCGATATTAACATGTTTAAAGGGATGGTAAGCGTTACTAACATGTTTAAAGGGACTGTTAGCGTTATTAACATGTTTAAAGGGACTGTAAGCGTTATTAACATGTTTAAAGGGAAGATTGTAAGCATTACTAACATGTTTAAAGGGATTGTAAGTGTTATTAACATGTTTAAAGGGATTGTAAGCGTTATTAACATGTTTAAAAGGATGGTAAGCGTTTTTAACATGTTTAATGGGATTGTAAGCGTTATTAACGTGTTTAAAGGTACTCTAAGCGTTATTTCAAATGATCATCCATCCAAAGATGTTTTTGTTTCTTCAGACTGTTTATTCTATTTTTTTCTCTTTAAAAGTGACGCGCATTTCTTGCTTATCAGAAGCAACGGAGAAATTATAGAGAATTAAACCTTTTTAGCGCCAGGAAAACAGCGTTGTCTCCCACATCTTCCATCAAATTATGGTTTCTAGGATACTGTTATAAATTTGACATTGCCATCTTTGCATGGAGGATCACTTGAAATTAGGCTTACAGTCCCTTTAAAAGAGTGAAACTTTAGTTTATAAAAAGATGTATTTGTATTTTAAAAGACACCTTCATAATTTAATGACATGTATCACGTATAAAATCGTCACTTTTAACAACTTTCGGTTTAAGGGCCTGGGAGTGGACACATTTCAAAATGATGAATTCAGTAAAATATTAATTGATTTAGTGATGTTTTGCAGGGTTATTACTTTCAAATTTTTAACCTTCTCTTAACTTTTTGAGGATTTAAAATAACTTCATTTTGGGGATTTTTACATAAAATACGTTTAGGAATAAAAAAAAATGAAGTTAACCGGGCATCATTTAATTTAAGGTATACAAAGCACCCAAAATGACATTCATATGGCTAACGGCTAACAATATCAATTTTTTGTATGCTTTCAATGATAGGAATAGAGGTTTCATTTAAAGACTAAAACCAGATCCACTGAAGTGTTTACATCTACTTTAAAGAGAAAAAAATTATTTCAAGATTAAAAAATATTTAGGCAGGGTTTCATTTAAAGACTAAAACCAGATCCACATCTTCTTTGTTCCTTTATTTATATATTTTGAATTTAAAAAATTAAATAGAAAATACAGCCCCCCAAAAAAACAAGAAAACAGTTTCAAATTTATCATTTCTAAAACTGCCTTATCATAATATTACCCTCATATTTACACTCAAAGGTTGTCGTCAACAAAACTGTAAAATTTTAGAATTTCGAAACATCTGTTTCTCTGTTTTAAGCATATATAGCTTAAAATAATGTAGATATTACTGATATTTGTTCAATACTGATCTAAACAAACATTTACTTAATTTGAACTGACATCAGAAATCCAGGGGGGCATACCACGCATACAAGAGGAGGCGGGGAGCACAGTGCATTCAGGAGGAGGCGGGGAGAAGGGAAGACAACAGTGGGTGGAGAGGGGGGGGGAAGGGAAAACAGAAGACACAGAGATTAAAAAGGGGAAAGGATAAAGTACAACATACTAGACGCGCAGATATATCGGTTAGATCTTTTTCCAGTAAGAAGTGGATGAATTAAATGAAAAAGCAAAAAGACAACTCTGATATAAGATTGTTAAGTTTATAGATTAAAACACAAATGAATTGATATTAAAAAACTGAATGCATCTTGCCCTGGTTAGTCCAGGCTGACTTTTTTTTTGAAAATTTAAAATCTGAAATATATAGTGTCCAACAAAGATGGGGGAGGTTGCATTATGGAAATCTTTTATCGACATTTTCTGGTCCTTGATTACACTGACATTTTCAGGTCCTTGATTACACTGACATTTTCCGGTCCTTGATTACAAATAGTGCTATATAAGTAAGTACTCTTAACATACCAACGTTATTTTACTTCTTCAAGCCTCATGGTAAAAGTGTGCGAAATTGGAAAAGAAAACTTCGACGTAGTATCAGGTTTAATATGTCTCAAATGATTCCGAAAGTATTTGTCCACAACACTGCATACTCAGTTTAACTACCTTACTTAGCCGGTCTGTCCCTTTAGAGAAAAACAACATTTGACAGAAACTGACTTTATTCATGTGTTTTCCTCCTTCACTAATTCATTTAAAACTAAATGCGCACCTCTGACCCTTTAGTAAAAGTAAATTCAACCTAATGTCTGACCGCGTCAACCTTGTTGCACCGGCTAGTCCTATTGACTGTCTGCCTTATTTACCCAATGTCCAGGCGATAGAGTAAAAACTGGCACCGGAAAGGTTGACCCGGCTCGGAAATTCAAATGTACTACGGCTGCCCGTGTGTTAACTAGTAATTTTAAATGTTTATTTTCTATATATAACTACAGTATTTGCTAAAAATAAATACTGTATTTTCTATATATAAATACAGTATTTGCTATGTATATAAGTAGTAAGTACAGTATTTTCTTTATATAAATACAGTATTTGCTATATATAAATACAGTATTTGCTATATATATAAATACAGTATTTTCTATATATAAATACAGTATTTTCTTTATATAAATACAGTATTTGCTATATATAAGTACAGTATTTTCTTCATATAAATACAGTATTTGCTATATATAAATAGAGTATTTGCTTTATATAAATACAGTATTTTAGAGACCTTCATCACGTCGGGGTCACCACTTTAGAAAGTATGAACAATTCTAATATATAGTTTATTTGGTATATGTTTAATAAACAGATATTTATATCGAAGAGTAGATCTGTTAAAGTTGAAGGGTAGAGACGGACTGACTCCTAGATTCTCGTTTTCTTGTTCGGAGATTTTTT